AGGGGAGCCTTCCAAACACATCTAGCAGAGCTGCCTCATAATTCACTGGATTCTTCTGCTTTCACAGCTTCAATTAATCCTACATTTCCCCTTCACAGGGGCACGTGAACTTTGGCTTCCCAGAGCTGTTAGAACTCAGAGGTGGAATCCAAAGTCCTGGGAGAGACTCATCTGGCAGAGGCTGGTTACTAGTACTAGTCGAGGGTAGGCAGATCTAATTTCCTAGACTGATAGAGTTTATAGCTAATAGGGACCATTATGATCACCTACCGCTGACGTGCTGCAGAACACCGGCCATCGATTTCACCGTGTGATTCCTGCTTCAAGCCCAGCATTTCTGGTTGGGCTACAGCGCATCTTCCAGAGACACATCCAGCCTTGAGCTAAAGCAAGGACGTCAAACTCATTTCCTGTGATGGGCCTGATCTGATACCTCGCCACTTGAGCAGGGCACAGTCAGCAAGAGCTTTGAAAACAGACCTAGCTAACGAGAAACTCTGCTGATCATTAATGACATTCATTCAGTTTGATGTTTCCTTGTCTTTGATTTGCCAGGTTGGAGTATCTACATTCCCGCAAGTAGCTAATCGCTCTTCAGTGCCAGTCCCCCTCCCATGGATACATATTGCTTCTGCCAGACTTCAATAGATTCATAGATTCTAGGACTGGAAGGGACCTCGAGAGGTCATCGAGTCCAGTCCCCTACTTACGCCTCGCCAGCACCTCTTAAACAGAAACAAGTGGGTCTACACCTGTCCGTGAGGTTTGCTGACTTGCTGTGTTGGCATCTGGCCATGTGATTTATAGAGCGAAGCAGTATGTTGTGCTCCAACTCCCCCATGTGGGCCCTGCTGGTGTGCACTAAACGTTCCTTAGTGTGCAGAGATGTCATCCTATTTGAAACAGGAGCACATCGCTACACACTAGCAGGGGGTTACAGCACCACACAGATGTGCTCTACAAATCACTCCCCCATAGCGCGCACTCCAGGGCTGTGCAGACAAGCCCAAAGATTCATAGGAAGTCTGCAAGCTCAGTGACACTGTTCTGTTTGATACACCTGATTCAAAGACTTCAAGGAATGGAGAATCCATATCCCGTGGGAAGCTGGTCCAATGGCTAGTTCCCTAAAACTGGGCATGTCCAACGGCTAACCAATAAAACATTACATCTTTTCCGTTTCAATTTGTCCCGCTTCAACTCCCAGCCATTGGCTCGTGTTGGGCCTTCGCCTGCTTAGACTAAAGCCCATTACCATCAGATAGCTGTTCCCAACCGCATTTGAGTTGCACAGGGTCCCCCCAGCTGTTGGGGGTCAAGCGAGGGAGCAGGGGTTGTGATGGGGCTCAGTGAGAATTGTGAGATGCACCCTGACCCTGACCCCTTTGAGGAGGACAGAGATCGTTTCCCCTCCCCTGCGGCAGAGCGGGAGCCCGGCTTGTGTAGAAATTGGTTCACGCTGGGGGCTTCCTTTTAGAGCAGGGGTTCTCAAACTGGGGGTCAGGACCCCTCAGGGGGTGACAAGGTGATTACATGGGGGGGTCACGAGCTGTCGGCCTCCACCCCAAACCCCACTTTCTCTCCAGCATTTATAATGGTGTTAAATATAAAAAAGTGTTTTTAATTTATAAGGGGGGTTGCACTCAGACTTGCTATGTGAAAGGGGGCACCAGTAAAAAAAAGTTTGAGAGCCACTGTTTTAGATGGAAGACAAGATTCTTCTCCATCGGGCTCTTTCCCCCCCAAGCCCAGCTCATTGGTGGGGGCTGATGGAGCTCGTTTAGCTTGCCTCTGAAGCACTAGGTATTAGCCATGACTAGTGGCCGGTACACTAGACGTCGGGCACTAGTTGTCTGTGGCAAATCCAATCAGCTGAGCACAGCAGAGGGGGTGGATTAATAGAGCCCAGGATGTCCAGCTAGTCATTAGCAAGATGGTCATTATTGCTATTAGGACCAACTCTATCTTCGGTACTTACGTGACCCCCATTACAGCCAAGCACTTCCTAATCTCTGTATTGTATTTATTCACACAACGTCCCCAGGAGGTAGGGCGGAACGACTATCCCCCTTATACAGATGGGGAAACTGAGGAACGGAGACACTGTGACTTGCCCAAGGTCACACCTGGAGTCGGCAGCAGAGCAGCGAACTGAACCCGGGTCACTTACATTCCTGGCTAGTGCCCTCGGCACCAGACCATCCTTCCCACTGGGCTCCTAACGCTCACTGTAGCCGCAAAAGCAAAGAGCGCGTACTCCCTATGTCAGTGTAGCAGGCCCTCAAAGCTGCGAGGGCTGGCCCACAGGCCGAGCTGAAGTACCCAGGCGCAGCTGAAGATGGGGTGGCAGCCAAGAGGCTGGATTTTCTGACCCCCATCCTACATCAGAAGCACCAGGTTTCTCACTCTCATTTCCTTCACGCTAGTTTTACTGTAATATTATTAAAGCCAGCCTCCACCAGGCACTCAGCAAGCGGCAGGAACGTTCCTTAAGGCCACAAGAGGTCAGCTGGGCGTGGGAATTAGCCTCCCCTACAGACAGCTCAGGGATTGGGGTAAGCCGTGAAGACCCACTTCTCATTCCTAGAATAGGCCCCCTCTGGAGCAGGGTCGAAGCCCATCAGCAGGGCTGCAAAGGAAGCTGCTGCACTGCCCAGGCCGTGCCCGTTCTGGGGTTAGAGGGTTTCCGCAGGGCTGCCCGTCCTAACTCCTTTCAGGAGCAATTCAAGCCCCCGCACTGGAAATTCCTAGATAAACCCACACCAGGATCCAGCAAGCAGCATTCCTGGCCCCAAGGGGCTAATGGCGCTTTCAGTAAAGGGAAGTGGAAGCCGTAGCCGTGCTTTGCAGCAAGCGTGAGAGCTGCTAGCCCAAGCAACAGAGCGGCCGGAGTAAAATTCCCTCTGAGTAACTGACCTGCTGCTGGTTAGCATCCTGCCATACACTCAGGCACTGGCCCAGCCGCACTAACATGCTTCATAGATTTTAAGGCTCAACCACTGGCCCCTCTGCTCAGGTGAGAAAGGGGCTGGTTAGCACTAGCGGTGGTGGGTTTGGCCTTTAGGAACAGAACAGAGCCACCAGCTCAGGGAACAGGACGTGGGATTTTAATCAAGGCAGTTGTGCCTTGTGCTGCTGGAAGCAGTAGCCGGAGTCAGATTGCTACGAAGAGCCGCTTGGCAAGCGTGCAGTGCGAGTCTCTGAACTACGGCACAAAAATGAAAGCCAAGCGAAATGAAACCAGTGTGCTGTACAGATCAACATGTAGCCCTGCGTCCCTGCTAATTAGACGGTCTACACACTACAAAGATAAGTCTGCCGATGTTAGGTCGACTTACAGCCACTGCGTTAATTACTGCAGTGCTGAAGTCCACACTGCCCTCCCGTGGGAGGTGCATGTCTTCTCTGGGAGCAATTCCACCGCCTGCAGAGTGGCAGTGTGGGGGCTCTCAGCGCCCCCCACCCCCGCAGGGCTTCTCTCCTCCACTCTCCCACTGTGTCACCCGAACTACCCTGACACAAGCCCTTCGCCTCTCGTGGAGGTGGTTTTATGATGCCGGCATAGCAGGGGAGTTCCATGGGCAGGAGCATTTCCGTGTGTGCATCTCCACTGTGTTGTTGACAAAACCGTGTAGCATAGATGAGACCTTCGACGATCAAAGGCTAGGAGGAAATCGCTGCACTAGTCCCCTTATCCCTAGGGGGGCTGGGGCATTACTACCACTGGGGGTTTTGCACTGCAAATGAGGACAGTGACAGTGCTCAAATCACAGGGCAGTAAGAGGCCAGTCGAGGAATCGTTTAGACTGTGAGCTCTTTGAGGCAGGGACCGTCAGTTGTTTGTACAGCACCTAACACAACAGGGCCCAGCCCGATTGCAGGGCTCATAGTCACCTCATCAACTCCTGGAAACAACACTGCAGGATTAATACAATCACTATCCTGGAGTCTACAGAGCGCGCTCACTTTCTGCTCCTCTAGGAGATCACATGCTTCCCTGTCAGAGGTGGAGGCTGCACTGGGGCATGACTAAGGGGGATAAAGCAGCAGCAGTGGGGGCCAGGAGAGAGGATTCGGCTCTTCAGAGGGGGGCAGACAGTGGATCTCTTTGTGCATTTAAACGGCTCTTCCCTCACTGTGGCAAGAGAGGACACTCAAAGCGCTTTTACGGACCTGTAAAACGTGCAGCTGATATGCACAGATCTCAGCCAGTTCTTACGGTCTTTGAAGCAGATTCACCCATCCCCAGGGGCTAGGGCTCTGCAAGACAGCTGGGCCAGGAGCACAGGGCCAGAGTTCTAGGGACCATACCTAGTATACGCTCCACCAGCCTGTAAACTCCTGGGAGCAGGGACATGAATCATAGAATACCAGGGTTGGAAGGGACCTCAGGAGGTCATCTAGTCCAACCTCCAACCTGGACAAGCCCAACGACATGCTACCTGCTTGGCACTAACCGATCCTCGATCCTCTACACAAGGAGAGTAACTTTTTTTTTTAATGGAGATATCTTATCTCCTAGAACTGGAAGGGACCTTGAAAAGTCATTGAGTCCAGCCCCCTGCCTTCACTAGCAGGACCAAGTACTGATTTTGCCCCAGATCCCTAAGTGGCCCCTTCAAGGATTGAACTCCCAACCCTGGGTTTAGCAGGCCAATGCTCAAACCACTGAGCTATCCCTCCCCCAAGCTTCATAAATGGCTGTGTAAGCTATATGGACCCAACTGGTTGTGGCAACTGAATTGATGGGAGCTTGCATCTGTGGAAGAACGAAGCTGAAAAGACAGACACTGCTTCACGCAGAGAAAGCTCACTTTGCACCTTCTGTTTTTCCTTCATGTTCCATTTAAACTCTTCTCGAGCGTCAGCCACATTAACAATGTCTGAAAAGCATTTTCCACAACTACTCACACACAAGCCCTCCCTCGTGTTCCTCCTCCAACTATAATCCCATGTTTCGAGTCCACACAACACTGAACACAGGACCTCCAACAGCAACATGCTTTAACAGCTGGTATGATTTTAATTCTAACATATATACACATGTTGCGATAGTTACCACCATCATTTTGAATGTACTATTATCCACATCACATTACGAGTTATTTAGTCAAGTGTTCCGAGTCGGCTTACGGGCTCTTCAAAGCCCAACGCCTTATTTGCAAACTTAATCCTTTAGAAGAGCGGAGCCCCGAGTGCAGCCCAATACAATTTATGACTATCCTACAGACGTACAGCCTCAGACACCACATCCCCAGCATGCATTGCTCCATCTCACTCACAGCGGTCAGGCTGCTATGCAGGCCAAGACTCGTCTCCATAGGCGGTAGCTCCACATTAAAATGAGGGCAGCTACAATTTGCTACATTTACAAGATAGGTGGAGCTCTCTGGCTCCAGGCAGATTTGCAATATGGTCATCAGCTGGGCCAAGTTCAGGCTCCCCCGGTTTACAGGGATCCCCTGGCTTTGATGAACACACACGTCCCGTCAACAAGAATCACTCAGCAAGAGGAGAGCAGAGTCCTCAGCTCAGCAATTCTGATTTCAGGTTTGAGTTTATACCCGGGAGACATGGCGATAATGGCAACATTTTTTGAATCGGTCTACTGCCAATTCACTACGGCAGCACAACACTCCTGTAGCTCACATTAAAAGCCCCTCCTCTCAAAATAAATATATCAAGATTCTTTTAGAACCAGAATGTATGCTCCCCCCACTCACTCAGTCTCTCTCTCTCACACACACACCCACACACACACCCACAGTACTAGCTTTAGGAGATACATGGCACAGATCTGGTCCAATATTGCCATTGAAGGTTCAAACAGGGTCTGAAACTGAAGTCAGCATTTGGTTTTTTGGCATCTTATTGAGGGTGAAAAATTCAGACATGGCAGTCCATCTCCCGATTCAGAAAGGAGAGAGTGCCCAATTCACATGAAGTCATCCGAATCATTGCCATCCTGTGGGGAAGGAAAGAATGGAATTATTGAGATACCTTTGTAAAATGGAAGTTGAACACCGGCGAGATAGGTTGAAAGCCACTGGACTACACTTCCTTCATTCGCTGACCCCTAAACAATGTCCAGTGGAGGTGCAGACCCCTTTAGAAAGCTTAGCCAGTCTGCAGAGCCCCAGACTGAAAGCCGCTGGTGTAGTCAGCAGCCTCTCAGCCTCTCCCATCCTTTAAGGAAGTGTCTGAGTTTTTTCTGGTTTCGATACAAAGGCCATAAAATCAGCCCAGGCTTACTCACAAGGCTCACGGTCAGAGTTCTGAAACTAACAAATCCCAAAGCTAGGTTCTTTGGATTCGGTTGCTAACATTTCACATGTTGAATATGAGTATTCTCCTGTTCATTCAAGAAGTGGGCCCCACGGAGAGATTGTCCCCTCTAACTCAAAGCCTAGGACCCAACCAGCCAACTGTATGGGATACAGATGAAATATAAAAACTGCAGTGCTTGCTAGCCACCCAGTAAATGGGCTCCATACATTCCCAGTACAGCAGATCATCCATCCACATGTAACCCTGGGAGGGAGGGGACTGGGGATTAAGCTCTGATAACCCCTGAACTGGTTACTTTAGTAACCTTTACCTATATCATGTGACTCAGGCCATGAAGTGGAGATCAGCCTCTCGCCAGCACTCCTGTGTATCTGCCCTTCCTGACCGTAACTTGAGCTGACCCCAGCTTAAAGGCACCAATCTGACAACACATGTGGTTTACACACAGAGAGGGGTGATGACTCCATACATGGGCATTTCCTCACAAGGCAGGTCACTAACCAGACACAGCTTGCACATACATAGCAGGAGGTGCCGCTGCTTAAACCCCATAGTTCTTTTTACCCAAGCAGGCTTACCTGGGATCTGGAAACCAGCCAGAAAAGTCACCAAAAAACCCCCACAAACCCATGAAAACCATAAACCCATCTCAAGCAGCTGCTGAGCCTCTGGGGATGTGATGGGTGAACAGATTTGAAATAAAGATTTGTGTGAGGCACTCTGAGCTCCTTGTTCGCCTAGAGATATCACCAATGCAACAGCAAGTGAGGGTACTTGCTTTCAGAGGAAGGATATCAGGCACAAAGCAAGAGCCCAGTACGCACCAGGGAAAACAATGCCTTCCTCACTCAGCTTAGGTCCTTACGTAACCCAGCTCCCATTCATCTCTCAGCGCTCATTTTCCTTATGCTTGCCCATGCTATCTCAGTCCTTGTCTCGCTGCTCCGACTCCCAGCTCTGTCTCATATAACATGCGGCTCCTAACACAAGATGCTCCCTTCTCTCCTCCTTCAAATCCACCTCTTCAAGCAATCTCAGCTGCCTCTCTATAGTCCCCTGGCCCTTCCTCTCCTGGTCTGTTGTCCCATGTCCTGGCTTCAATGGCCTTTAGATTGCCTATTCCTCAGGACAAATGAGACACCCTTGGTTTAAGGGCTACGTACATGTTTAGTCACAGAGTAATACAAAGATAGGGGATTCCCTCAGCCCCAAGACAAACCAGACACTGGACTAAACAGGCAAAAGGACAAACAGAATTTCACTTAAAATTCTTACTCTCCTTTCGGTGGCTGTCCCACCATAGCACTCTGTGATCCTTCCCACATACAACTTCCTCACCTCTGCTGAGGAGCGGCTCTGAACACAACCGAAGGGAATTCAGAGCAGCAGAGTGCGAGACTGGAGAGAAAAGAAAGGAGCGGATGTGTCCTTGGTCCGTTTAACATCTCTAGACTAGAGGACGTTACAGGAAAGAGACTCTCTTTCCCTGTAATCATGCAGCTCCCTTCTCCTCGGATTTTGTTCTGTAACTCCAATGGTAAGAGGGGGAGAACGCATGGAACAATTCACCATGTGCAGCTACTGGGCTGAAACCTGCTTTCACATCCGTATCCTGTTACCCTGCTCTGATTCTTATTCAGGCCTCTGGAAGCAAGGTCTTCACAGGTGCCAGCCTCAACATACCTGGTTGGAAGACATGTTCTCAGACTTCATTAGCGACGAGTAGCTCCTGCAAGGGAAGAGAAATTATGCAGCAAGATGCATTTTTCAACGTACGTTGTGAAACAGGGCAGAGTGCCTACAAGCTTAGCCCTCCTGTGCTTCAGAGGGAATTCAAACCCATCAGATCTCAACATCAGCTGGTCTTCCAAAGAACATACTCCGGCCCTAACTGAAGATTAAATGTACTGTGGGGAGCACAGACACCTTGGCACAAAAAACACAAGTCAGAGATGGACTATGGTGACCTCTTTTTTCGACTAGGAGCCAGTGCATGGGTTTTCTACAACATTTGTTCTTCAGCTTTGTCCAGATACACTACAAGCAAGATAACTAGTAAGGGGTTATAAAATCCTCTTTGCTTTAGGATTACTAGAAAACTGGCTTGCGGAGGCCAATCAACGTCCCCACCAGCACTCCCTCTTGCCTTCCGAAATTGAACTGGGACTCAGCTGCCTCCATGTTATTGCTCCTTTGAATTACTGAGTGCTCCAACAGGAGCTGTGGGGTTTAGGCTCCCCGAATTCCAGCCTCATGACCATCTAAACACACATTACTTACTATTTATTGTAACATTTTATATGTACAACGCAGTCCTGGGATACCTTCTGGGTCAGACTGCTTATGTGTCCAGGTTTGTTTGGTACAGTCAGGGGGTTAACATATCTACCTTATCTACTCTTCACTCAAGGACCAACATGGCCACAAATGTTTCCTGCATGTCTACCATCAGACCGGAAGATCAACGGGCTGTTCATCATGGTGCATTTACAGGAGTACATAATGCTTTCCATTTACACTAGGATTAATTTGTGTTTTTAAAATCACTATATGTGAAGTGCTTTGAAGCTTGACAAGCACTACACAGGCGTTGATTTTCACCAGAGCAATTCAGTGCTTTACAGATATAGTAGGCAATTATACCCATTTCACAGGGTTCCGTGACTTGTCCAAGTTCAGACAGCAAGTTGGTGGCACAGGTGGGAAAAGAATCCAGGAATCCTGACTCCCAGCTCTACTATTCCTCACTCCAGTTTCTATGAAGTGAATTGGGTGACTACATCTAATTCTCAAGACAAAGGCAAAGAAAGGGTTGCCAGGTACAGCAAATACTATTTCTTAAGACTGTACCAGTCTAAGACAGAACAGAGTACGAATGACTCAACAGGAACCTCACGTGACATGCCCTGATTGAAGTCTTGCTCCCACCACTGATAGGAAATACTCACAGTTCTAGTTAGTCACAGCCATTACTCACCTGAGATCTTCCATTTCTTTCTTTTTCTTCATTTCCTCTTTCTCTTTCCGTTTCATCTCTTGGATCTGGGCTTTTTTCTCATTCCTCTCCTCTCTGTCCCGGGCTTCCTTCTCAGCGGCCAGGTCGGGGAAGCGCTCCACTTTGGTCTTCTCTAGCCTGTTCAGTATCTCATTCACCTTCTTCTCCACTGTCACTGTTCTCACCTTTGGGATGGAAAGAACTATAATCTTTATCAAAAATGCTTCCACCTTGCATTTCGTTGAGAAAGAGACTTTACACACAGTGAGGTAAATGCCAAAAAAAGGAGCATTTTCACCTTTACATGTGGCTCCTGAATCTCATTTAAACAGATGGCAAGTCATTGCCATCTGGTGCTGTTCAGTGGTCTGTGCGAAAAGAGCTGGGAACACGGTACAATCTCCGATGGGCACAAGAACACAAACCACTGTCACAACTATCACTAATTGGTTTTTTTGGCTGCAGTCTCAGCAGAGAGGCCCAGGATTGACTGGATCGTGCAGAATGGTCGTCCACCCAATCCTGAAGTGAGTCTCTGTGGACTAGGGCTGAGCATGCTGGCAAGGGACGCTCATGTTGATATTGAGTGCGTTGTGCCTGTTCTGTGGACCACTGTCTTCAACCCTGCGCTTCCCAGTACTGGTTTGTGTTTTAACAAGCACTTTGCACTTCTACAGAGCCTGCCATCCAAGGATCTCCAACTAGTTTACAGACAAAAGTCTTAACACACCCAGGAAGATACAATCCCCATTCTCAAGACTGGAAAATTCAGGCACCAATGGCCTGAGTCAAAACCTGTTGAAGTCCATGCGAGTGCATTGACTTCAGAGGGCTTTGGATCAGGGCCCCAAGACATTAAATAGCTTCCCCAAAGTCACACAGGAAATCTGTGGAAGAGCCAGAGGTGGACTCAGATCCAAGACGTGGGCCTTTGCCACGAGACGATCTTTCCTTCTCTCCCCTGACAACCGAGCTCTTTTTGACACATGACTCTAGTGCTCTGGAAGTCAGTCTTTACGATTTCCTGGCAGGGTGCTAAGAGAGAACTTTTCTCTGAACGCAAGTCTGACTGTTAGCAATTTTGAAAGTGACAACTAGATTCATATCTTAAGACTGGAAGTTCTTTCAACATTTAAAATTATGAAAATACCCAGATTTTACAGGAAAGAGGACCTGATGAAGTCTGATTTTCAAAACTTCCCACTTCCAGATGAAAGGGGGTCGCCTATTAAAAATGTTACCAGTCAGAAGCAAACCAGCTGCGATTATGTTTTTACCAGGTCAGAGGGGCTTCAATCTTACTGAAGACAATAATCCAAGTGTAGCTGGAAAATCAAGCAGAAAGTGTATCTCTAGGTTTTTTGCCACCCCAAGGGGGAAAAAAAACACCTCCGAGAGTGCAACTGCCAAATCAAAAAAAAAACAAACAAACAAACAAAAAAACCCCACAAACCCTAAACCACCCGGAATGTCGCCCCTGGAATTGTGCCACCCACCCCAACCACATGTTTGGTTTGCTGGTGCCTAGAGCCGGTCCTGCACTTGGATATTGTATATTGGCAATATTTTATAGTGGTCGTAACTAATTACTCAGCTCTGTATCCCTCTTGTAACTTGTGCCTTTTTCCATGTGTTGTAGTGATTTTACTTTACTACAGTGGCTTTCAAACTTCATTGCTACATGACCCCAGGATGGGGGATCAGAGCTTGAGCCCATCCCAGCCCCACTGCCCCAGGTGGCCAAAGTCGAAGCCCAATGGCTTCAGCCCCAGGCAGGGGGCTTCTGACCTAAGCCCTGCTGCCCTCGGGCTTCAGCTTCGGCTGGAGGGGCTCGCTTTGACACCAGGCCCCAGCAAATCTAAGCCAGCCCTGGCGACCCCATTAAAATGAGGTCCCAACCCACTTTGGGGTTCCAACCCACAGTTTGAGAACCGCTGCTTTATTATATTCCGACACCCACGTGGAAACTTAGTTTAGCCCACCAACAAACAGCTGGGATTTTCCCCATGCCCCTGGACCACAGCCGTTTCCCCTGCTTTAGAGCCCTTGCGTGAGAGACAGTACACTCAGCTCTCAATACCGGAGAAGGACGGTACTGCCGTCAGCTGGTGGGTTTCTTTGCCGCTGCACAGCGAACACTTACATCCTTTTGTCTGTGAAACCCTATCTGCCCCACGTCCATGTCAGCCGTTTTCTTCAGGTTGGTCCATGGCGTGTACACCACATTGATGTTGTTCATTTTGCAGCCTACAGAGCAGTAAAGGGGAAGGGGGGGGGAGAGTTCTTGTATCAAAGGATCAGAAGGGGGAACATTTCTATTCTCCCTCCCCACCCTGAACCTTCTGACGAGCTGTCTCCACAATCAGCCAGAGTCATGTTGTGTTACATAGCTCCTAGTCCGCAACACTTGTAAGGATCTGTCCTCGTTCTCCTCTCTGAAGTAACAGCATTGCAATGGAACAGAAGGACATTGCAATACCGCGTTCTGTGGCAGCAAGGGCCAAAGCAGTGTGAACGAACTCCAGATGGAGTCTGGCTTTGCCAGAAGGCTGCCTGCTACAAAGAGGGCCTCAAGTGGGCATTAGAGGGAAAACGCCAAGACCCCTTTTGGCTCATACAGTGATTTAGAGGCACCGTCAGGAATCAGGAGATTAAAGTTTCAGTATGAAAATATCAGCAGCAGCACCAGCTGTTGCAAGTGACATCTGTTTCCCATGAAAACCGCAAGCTATGAAGTGCACTTACACTTAACGTTCTTCTGACATCAAAAACAAGACATTTCAGTAATTTGGGCTGGAAAGCCCAGGCTGGGATGATTTAGTTGGGGATTGGTCCTGCTTTGAGCAGGGGGTTGGACTAGATACCTCCTGAGGTCCCTTCTAACCCTGATATTCTATGATTCTATGAATAGACACCCCCCACACACACCCCTTGTACACAGTCCCTTAATCTCCATAGGAGACTCGCCAATTTCAATAGTGAATATTACCTTGAATGCTATTGGCCTTCACTAGATGGGCGCAGTCTATCAAAACTTCTTTGGGAATATCATCCACTGTCTGCCCCTAAAGCAGACCAAGGAAACATGAGTGGTTTACTGTGCCATTTGAGGGGGGCAATATGGGAGTTATGAACACCACACCAACAGTGCACTTGGACCATGCTATACAAACACAGGTATGAGCCCCTGCATTACCAACACAGCTTACAATGCTTTACACTTCTATAGCACCTACCAGCCAAGGATTTCAAACCACTTTACAAACGGCTTTGCCGCTATACCCCTCAGAGGTATTAGCCCCCTCTTACTGAAAGGGGAATGAGGTAGAGATAGAATGATTAGTCCTAGAGCTCACAAATCCATGGCAGAGCCAGGAGCTGTGTTCCCTCAAAGCTGCATGGTTGCCCAGGAGTGAATCAAATACCGTTCACACCGGGGGGGTGTGTGTGTTCAGGTCCTCTCCCCGTGCTGCTCTGCAGCCAGGTTGCTCCTGCCCTCTGCCTTGGAGCCCCTGGCCAGCTGTTCCCAGGACCCTCCTGCCTGATGTGCAGAGTGGGGGTGGGGGGAGAGAAAGAGGGACTGATGTCAGGCTGTCCCCCTCCCCCACCTGCCCATGTACCCCATCTCTGCAGAACAGGGGAGCGGGGACAGAGCTCAGGAGCAGGAGAGCTGCTGCAGTCTGAACGAGGAGCTTTCTGGTGAGTGCCTTAAAGAGACAGCACACAGTCTCTCAGACTTCCCCAGCACGCAGCACACACGCGCACGCACATACATATGCACGCATCTCTGCCACAGACAGTGTCTCTTTCACACTCACCTCCCAGCACATACGTGTGTTGTCGTTACTTCTTGGTACTTCCTGCAGTGCACGTATATTCTCGGTAATTTTATTCTTTCAAAATGCTGTTATTTGTGGTTTTATTTCTCTCTTATGCTTAAATTTAATTCTTTGAGTAGTGAGTTCTAAAATGCCAAACCTGTCCTGGCTGGAGTAATTATCCCTATGGTAACTTTTTAAAAATATATATTATAGCTCGGTTTTTTCTTTCTACTGGCAGCGCACATCCACACATCACCTCGATATTGGTGCATATAACAAAGTTCATTCCGCACACTGATGGAAAAAGTTAGACGGAACATTGGTCAGGCGCTGTACTCAGATGATGAGACTTCCAGTTTTGTCCTATATTTTGGTTGTACCCTCTCCCCTGCCCTTCCTAGGTTGCATACTAACATATGCCCAAGTTCCACTACACACTTGCGCCCTTGCAGACCCCCATTAACATCAGGGGCACCGTGTGTGAGCAGGTGGGTCTATGCATCCAGAGCTCATAGTGGAATGGGAGCCTCAGATTGTAAGATCTTCAGGGCAGGTACCATGACTTCCTGTGTGTGTGGATGCCTAGCACAGGGGTAGGCAACCTATGGCACGCGTGCCAAAGGCGGCACGTGAGCTGATTTTCAGTGGCACTCACACTGCCCGGGTCCTGGCCACCGGTCCGGGGGGCTCTGCATTTTAATTTAATTTTAAATGAAGCTTCTTAAACGTTTTAAAAACCTTATTTACTTTACATACAATAAGAGTTTAGTTATATATTATAGACTTCTAGAAAGAGACCTTCTAAAACTGTTTAAATGTATTACTGGCACGCGAAACCTTAAATTAGAGTGAATAAATGAAGACTCGGCACACCACTTCTGAAAGGTTGCCGACCCCTGGCCTAGCATATTATGTGCATCTTCAGAACACAAATTCTCCCACATTTAGGTGTAGAATCTCAATAAATATTGGAGGCAACAAACCCTCCTAAACCCGGGAGAACTAGACTTAACATTTCTGAAAGTTCTAGTGTTCAAAATAAGCACAGAAAACCAACTCCTGAAAAAATATTTTCTGGAAATATGAGGATACAAACCCAATTTTTAAGAAATCTTTTGCAGGTCACTGTTATACCAGTACATACTTGTTTAACTGCACCAGGATTCTGAGATTACCTTGTGTAGTCGGAGGTACACGTGTGCAGAGGAGAGCTTATCCACATGAAACCTACAGAATACAAAGGCACATTTAGCAGAGGGTCACTTGCTCTGAAATAAATGCTACAATAGTTTGCCATAACAGACTAGTAGCCCCATGGGTAAAAGCATTAAAACAAATTCTGAACATGCATATTTGACAGCATGCAACAGAATTGTTACAGCTTATCAGGTGTTTCAATCTTTGAGCAAATATTCACCCATCTTTAAGAGGAGGAAATTGAAAAGCTAAAGGAAGCAGTTACTTAAAAACCTTGTATTTTCTCTGAAACATAATATACTCAGACAACATTAGCAGAAAGATCTTATGATAAGATATTGCTATTTGCTCCCTCTAGTGATTCCTATGGAAATGGCATAGAAATCTACCCTTTCTAACTACATCAGTTAACTAATTATGTGAGAGAAACAAATTAGTATAGCACTATAGCAAAGCGTGTTATTAAAAGTGACAGTTATGCTAACAAGATCTAAGGATCTCCCATAATAATAATATATGGAGATATCCTATCTCCTAGAACTGAAAGTCCAGCCCCAGCCTTGACTAGCAGGACCAAGTACTGATTTTGCCCCAGATCCCTAAGTGGCCCCCTCAAGGATTGAACTCCCAACCTTGAGTTTAGCACGCCAATGCTCAAACCACTGAGCTATCCCTCCCCCCTCCATCATCGGCTATGTCTACATTGCAATAAAACACTCACAGCTGGCCCATGTCAGCTGACTTGGGCTCCAGGGTTATAAAATTTCAGTGGAGATGTCCAGGCTCGGGCAGGAACCTAGGCTCTGGAGCCCTGCGATATCTACACAGCAATTTTACAGCCCTGCAGTCCAAGCCCCGCAAGCCCAAGACAGCTGACACAGGCCAGCCGCGGGTGTTTTACGGCAGGGTATACAGGCTCCTAGAGTCTTACATCCTCAATTTTCAGAGCAGTTGCAGGAAAAGCAGAGGTAGCGCATGCTTCTTCCACACTAGCTCCACCAATATGCCTCAATCCACCCCCAAAAAGACCATCTCTAGGAACGAGAAGGGAGGACAGTCTATATGGCCCACTCAATTAATTAGCCTCTTGGCTGAAATGGCTAACAAGGAAGCAAGTATCAATTAAGATGATGGGGTTTGTATGTGGAAGCTTGTCTACGGAGATATCTGGCCCATTCCATATATCATCTAACAGCTTTACAAGGCCCCAGGCAAATTTGGCCACTGCCAACATAGAAAATGTGTTAAGGATTAACACAGACAGCAATCAATGGCATATTTGAACATAAGAACGGCCATACTGGGTCAGATCAAAGGTCCATCGAGCCCAGTATCCTGTCTGCCAACAGTGGCCAATGGCAGGTGCCCGAAAGGGAATGAACAGACAGGTAATCATCAAGTGATCCATCCCCTGTCACCCAATCCCAGCTTCTGGCAAACAGAGGCTAGGGACACCATCCTTGCCCATCCTAACTAATAGATTCATGGACGATGGGTCTATCAATGGCTATCTAGCTCCCTTTTGAACCCTGTTATAGTACTGGCCTTCACAACATGGAGTTCCAGAGGCTGACAGTGTGTTGCATGAAAAAAATACTTTCTTGTGTTTGTTTTAAACCTGTTACCTATTAATTTCATTTGGTGGCCCCTTGTTCTTGTATTATCAGAAGAAGTAAATAACGCTTCCTTATTTACTTTCTCTACACCAGTCATGATTTTATAGCAGTGAGCTGCAGCTATTGTAGCTAACAGTGAGTTGTCCTCTCTCTGATTATTTCCTGTTCCATGTACGGGGACCAAAACTACGTCAACATGTGTGGTAAAGAGCCCGTAGCCACCCCTGAACATGCGACCAGTTAGGTCTGCTTACGTTATGCATAGCTCTTGCCTCTCATGATTCTGAGAGTCATTCAAGCTCAACTCATGGAGCCAGAACGAAGGCAAGAGCTGAGACAGGAGGACAGGGAATATTTCACTCTGCCAGGCAGCATGTGAATACAGTAGACATGATGGTGACATTGTGTATATACATGTACAAGAAGAAATCAGACAAAGGGACTGGGCTGGAGAACGAGCATGTTCCTGTGGAGAGGATACTGATCTGGGGGGTCAGGAGACCTCGGTTCTATTCTCATCACTGTCCCTGATCTGCCATGTGACTTGGGACACATTATTTCACCTCTGTGCCTGTCTCCGCTATCACTAGGGCCCTACCAAATTCACGGCCATGAAAAACTCATCACGAACCATGAAATCTGGTCTCCCCCCGTGAAATCTGGTATTTTGTGTGCTTTTATCCTATATTGTATAGATTTCATGGGGGAGACCAGCGTTTCTCAAATTAGGGGTCCTGACCCAAAAGGGAGTTGCTGGGGGGTCACAAGGTTATTTTTATTTTATTTTGGGGGGGGAGGTCATGGTTTTGCCACCCTTACTTCTGCGCTGACTTCAGAGCTGGGCAACCCGGAGAGTGGCGGCTGTTGGCTGGGCCCCCAGCTTTGAAGGCAGTGCCCCGCCAGCAGCGGCGCAGAAGTAAGTGTGACAATACCATACTATGTCACCCTTCTGTGCTGCTGCCTTCAGAGCTGGGCGGCTGGAGAGTGGTGGCTGCTGACTGAGGGCCCAGCTCTGCAGCAACAGTGCAGAAGTAAGGGTGACAATACCATACCATGCCATCCTTACTTCCGCGCTGCCATTGGCGGAGGCTCTGCTTTCAGAGCTCAGATCCCGGCCAGCAGCTGCCGCTCTCTGGCTGCCCAGCTCTGAAGGCAGAAGTAAGAATAGGGGTACTGCAACCCCCCTACAATAACCTTGTGACCCTGCCCACACAACTCCTTTCTGAGTCAGGACCCCCCTACAATTACAACACTGTGAAATTTCAGATTTAAATTGCTGAAATCATGACATTTATGATTTTTTAAATCCTATGACCGTGAAATTAACCAAAATGGACCGTGAATTTGGTAGGGCCCTACCTATCACCCTTTACCTTGTCTGTTTAAAGTTCGCCTACACGGTTATTAAAGAACAGCTATTGCTGAATAACTTCACGTGTGGGCACACCTATTCCATGGAAGGAGGGACAGCTCAGTGGTTTGAGCATTGGCCTGCTAAACCCAGGGTTGTGAGTTCAATCCTTGAGGGGGCCACTTAGGGATCTGGGGCAAAATCAGTACTTGGTCTTGCTAGTGAAGGCAGGGGGCTGGACGCCATGACCTTTCAAGGTCCCTTCCAGTTCTAGGAGATAGGTATATCTCCATATATTATTATGTGCACACAAGCCATATTGCATTATGAACTCTTCGGGGGCAGGAACCAGCTCTTACTATGTGTGTGAGAAAGTACCTAGCACAGTGCGGCCCCAACCTCAGTTGGGACCTCTAGGTGCTACTCTACAGCCCTCCGTGACTGTGTTTAAACTCGTTAATATTCTGAATAGCACCTAGAGTAGCCAGGAGAGCACCAACACTGCCCCCCACTGAAGTTCACTATGAAGGGCCTTTCATTTCACAAGCATAAAGGATTTACACGGCTCTTTTCAGTACCTACCAAATATCTTCAGGCCAGCCATATTTTATCAGGTCTTCATCTGCAGGCATGAAAAAAAGAATACTGAGCAAAGAAGGATACTTCCCCCCAGCAGCCAACCCAACTGCCCACGGAGACACTGGCAATGAGGGGAAATGATTGCTAATATCAAGAGTGTTTGCACCACAGTATGGCACCTGGAGAGTGAGAGTGATGGAACCCCAAATAGGGCCTGAAACACACAGTGCTCTTGGGCACAAAGGTGCTAAGGCCAAGACTCTGAACATTTCTAATTTCTATCCCTTTTCCTCCACTCCAGTCTCAGGTTGTTGTTTTTTTTTAATTGGGAGACACTGATCTTTGCATAAATGTCCAATGTAGGAGATTTTCAAGAGGGGAGTTCCCAAGATAAAAGCACCAACTCTCTTCAATTGAAGTGCTAAGTTTGGTTTTGCCTCAAGTACTGAATGGCAAGCAGTGACATGAAATGAAGCAAGACTGTACCCTGGTTTGTTGGAAGAGGACACAGCAACAGAAAACCTATTTTAGTTGAAGAACAGTAACTCAAGATAGTAAAAACTGACCAATTATGCAGGGAACAATGAAACCAACTAAATAAAATGCTGTCAAACCATGCTAGGCTTCTACCATTGTTTCCTTGACCATTTTATAGCCTGACAAAAAGCCCAGAGTGCCCACTGACTTCAGATTAAGTCCACGGACAGCTTCCCCTCTCACCAACCCATGACAATGGTATAAAGTAATGCTACAGACTACATAAGGAGTTAGTGTATAGCATAATTTGCAAAGCAGCTATCAGGAAAAATCTGCCTTCAAACAATGCAGTAAAATCAAAGAGGAAAATTAAGAAACAAGGTTAAAAAAGGCAAAAAAAAAAAAAAAGCAAATCCCAACTTATCAAAGCCTTGCCCAAGTATTTTCATGTACTTACTTTCATATTTATCTTTTCCCATGTAAATGCTGTAAACGGCGGGAACAACTGAGGGATAGAAAGACGACACACATCAAAAGGAGTTTCAGACAAAACTGTGCCCAGAGGTACTGACAAACACACCATCTAGGTCTCTGAACATCTAATCCACCCCATTCCCTTCCCAGGGGTCAGGGCAAGATTGAGTCACTTTAAAAAGTCATAGAGAACAAACAACCAGGTTTCCACCAGTTCCCTTGGAAGACTAGTCAGCAGTTTGACAGTCCTCAGGGCAAGACACTTCATGAGGTTCGGGCTCACTTTTGCTTTATATAATTAAAGCAGGATGCAGTCCTGTCATCCCAGCATAGGACTGGGAGTCAAAAATTCCCAAGCTCTATTCGCAGCTCTGATGCTGACTCCCTTTGTGGCCTTCTACAAGTCACCTAAATTCTTGAAGCATCCTACCTAATTCCTCTCTCTTCTTGTGTGTCCACACCCACCACTCTGCCTAGACATCCCTATCATGCCATTCTGGGAAAAACTGGACAGCTCTCTCATAACTCCCCCAGCAAGGGACCGCGCACGTTAAGACAGGCAGGGGAACAAGAGGGGCAATATACTTTGGGATATACAACTGTAGAGAAAATTGAGAGGAAGAACCACTGCCTAACCATGTTATACAGATAGTTAGATGGTCCCTTATATATGGCAACACAGAGTCACAACCTCAGTAGCAAAAAGAAAGTTATGTGCAAGCCTAGGTCACTGGCCAGGGTGACACATGGTTAGTTTCCATGATTACTGAGTAAAAACCATACTGTGTGTGGACATAAACAGTACTTGGATCCAGCCAAATTATCAACTGCTTACAAACTCAGAAATTACAGTAAACAGGGACTAAACTTCTAGTTTATATTGATGGAAATAAAAACATATTCATGTCTCAGTGTAAATATAACACTGAGTTCAGATTTTTATTGGATAGCTACAAAGATGATACAAGAATTAGAGAAATCCGCTGAACCATCAAGACAGGAGTTTCATGCGACAGTGACCTAGTCTCTGAAAACAGAGAGTGGAAGTCAGCATAGTGAGAAGCTACATGGAGGAGGCAGTGTAGAGAAAAGTCTCCTTTAGAAACGGGGGGCCTGATCCCACACCAGCTGGAGCAGCTCCATGGAAAGAAAGGCTACTTACATATATGGCACATACAATGGTGGTAAAATCAACCATATCTCACATACTACGAATCAGTCCCTTTGGGGACCTTTAAGTGACCTGGTATGGTTTCGGGAAAATGAAGTCAATCCTGCCACAATGCTACAGGAATGGATTAGATGACCTAGCAGCAGATCCCTTTCAATTTATATAATCTGATACACTTGGATATTAATGGACGATGTTTTAAATAACTCGCAAGAGGTTATTGTTTTCTCTCTAATTCAGGCCACTTAAGACTTAAGTATGATATCACTAGAATCCCCTTGATCACAGGTTTTCAAATTGTGAAGTGCGGCCTCCTGAGGCGGCACAACAAGGTTATCGGTGGTAGGAGTACTTGATGTGAAGTAGAACATTCCTACATCCTTTCCACTTTCCAAGGAACAGGAGTCAGGGGAGACAGAGCCTCTCCACAGGTAGAAGCAGTGGCATAGGGTGACCAGATATCCCGATCTTATAGGGCCAGTCCCGATTTTTGGGTCTTTTTCTTATATAGGTTCCTATTACATCCCCCCCATCCCGATTTTTCACACTTGCTGTCTGGTCACCCTACAGTGGCAGCAGTGGCTAGTGCACAAGGGACAGGTTGGCAAGCCTGCCCCTGCAGTGTCTGTTACTATCCCACATCTCAGCTCACATCCTGCTTTCACATGCCGGGCCCATGGCAGAAGGCAGTGGAGGAAGCAGCTAGAGCCAGTGAGTGGAGTCAGCAGGTGCAGTCTAGTAGAGGTCTGGGGGGGAAACAGGGGAGAGACAAGGCTGTGGCTGCAAGAGGGAGCAGTAGGCTGGGACAGTCAGAGCAAGGAGCCTGGGGAAGTGAGGAAGGAGGGGGCATACATGAGATATGAAGCTCTGAAGGGAGGCACAGCAACGAAGTTTGGGAACCTCTGCTCTAGATAGAACTACAGCTCCATTTATGTACAGTGGCATTAGAGGGGTTGGGGAGAGGGTAAGACATCCTCAAACTGCAAAGGGTTTTCAAAGACAGTGATCTTGTGGTTCTATCACTAAACCAACGAGCAGCAAAAGAGCACCTAATTGGCAAAGAAGTGCCAGGATTCAGGAGCTGCTAGTTAGAAGACCCTGGGACCCACTTCAGGCTTGTGTACTCGGTGTCCTAAAAAGCCAGGAAACCCAGCACTCACTTTTGAGCACCCAGCAGCTGCCTGAACATCAGTAGAAAATGGCTACATTTCAGTGTTGGATTAAGTGATGTTCATGTATCAGTTTGCTGCATTTGTAACGTGCTTTGAAATCCTCTAAGGGATGAAAGGTGTGATAGAAATGAAAAGCTTTTCCTCCAGTCCAGAGAACATAAATAAGAAGAATCACAAGAAACAAACAAGGTTATACTCAGATCACTAAAAGGTCAGAGGGATAAAACCAAGAGAGGAAGAATGGAGAAAAGATGTATAGTTGAGATGTTCCATCCCAAGAGAAAAATAAAAGAGGAAGAGTGAACAAGATAAGGCTGTGAAGGTCTTAAATTCCTGAACGTAGGGTTTTTTGGAGGGCATATTAAAACCACCAACAAAGCTCACCCACACCGCACTAAAATCTGGATTTCACCTGGTCTGTTATGAAGCCCCAATCTTTGTACATGGGCTTGTAGAAAGCATTCGTTTAAAAAGTAGTAAGAAATAGAGACACTGTATGCATTATCCCTCTCCCCCACCCTTCATAGTACATTGGACTCAAAGACCCTGGCCACTACTTATGTCCATTCAGTGCCACTGGCTCTAGCAACGACAGGAACCCTAGTGCAATGGGCCTCTTAGCTGCAGTCACCGTTTTAAACGCTACTATCTAACCCTGCTAAGAACAGGTCTACCTGACATGGTAGTTAAGACAATGACAGCAACCCATCAGCACTAGGGCTTCCCAGTGTTTTTAATATCAACATTTTAGAAGTTTCCTTGAACATACCCAGGACCTCAGACTGTAAGCTCTGTGGGGCAGGGGCCCTGTCTTCCTTCATACCTGGACACTACCACAGTAATAATTTTTTAAGGGAAGAGACAGCATCTGCTTAGGTTCGTGTATTGCTACGGGACCAAGGGCACACAAGCCAGGGAAAATGCAAAGCGAAACTCTGGAAAGCTTTCCTAACAGCAGGATGGAGGAGATAGTCAAATTCTCTTCCTGGGGTCAGGGTGGGAGCCCCATTGCTTTGTTATGACGATGGATCACTAGACTGGATGCAGTCCAAGAACACACCAGTGAGAACAACCCGGGGCTGGCTGGCCCTTGGGAAGGGAGATGTGGGCAGGACGGGTATCACCCCATCCTGCTTATATGGCACGAGGGCGGGTGGGGAAGATCATGAATGATCCCTAGGGAGAATGGGAGCCCCCAGGGCACGGTGGGAGAGAAACACCCGCCCCCCGGAAAGGTGTGTGTGTGTGTGGGGGGGGCACCCTGTTCTTGCACGAAAGGAGCAGCGGATGCCCGAGGGTGGAAGAGGTGGCGAGCAGGGAGGGAGGCCCGGTGATTGCGGGGAAGCGCTAGACAGCCAGGTGATGCTGCGGGGGGGGGGGGAACTTCCGGTGGGGGCAATGGCGCCCATGGGGGGCGGGGCCGAGGGAGTTTGGAGGGGGCGGGGCTCTCAGGGGGGGTAGGAGGGCGCCCCGAGCCGAGGCGGGTGGAGAAGGCCCGAGGGGGGCCGGGGGCTCACCGCTAGAGGTGAAGTAGAACACCATGGCGGTGGCTGAGTCCCGGCTCCTCGGCCGGCCCGCCCGGGCTGCTCCCGGCTCCGCGGCCCGCTCCCGGCGCTAGGACACTCGTCGCTCCCCGACTTCCGGCCGGATTCCGGAACCCGCGCACCGGAAACGGAAACGCTCGCGCAACCCGCCGAGTGGGGAGCGCGCTTTCGGCGCGTGCGCCAAGCAGAGGCCATGCGTCCTCCTGCGCGCATGCGCCGCCCTCAGAACGCAATTAGCGGGGAGGGGGGAAGAGTAGGCGAACTGTGCGCATCCGCAGCTCTGTGACCTGGGCCGTGCGGGAATTGTTGCTGTAGTAGGTTGTGCGCATGCGGGTTGCAGCTTTTTTGCAAACAGGGCTAATAGTTGGATGGCTGGTACCCGGCCCTGGAAGTTCTTGTAGGCGAAGGTGCTGTGGTTAGCGCACCGACCTGTGGGCCTGCAGCTCCGGTCTTGTGGCACCTTGGCCACTGCTGGGGGCATTTAATGTTGCATTGGTGCAAATTTCTCTAATGTAGACCGGGGGGGGAGGGTTAGTGCCTCTCTCTGGAGGACTTAGCCCCTGATGATGTGGGCCTATAGAAATGCCTATACAAACTTTAGATTAGAATTTCCTTTGGGCAGGGACTGTTGTTTTAGTATGTGCAGGTACAGTGAGCAGCACAATGAGACCATAGCCCATGAGAGAGGCTCGTAGGCACTAATAGTGATTATGATAATCATAGAATTGTTAGACTGGAAGGGACCTTGACAGGTCATCTAGTCCAGTCCCCTGCACTCATGACAGGACTAAGTATTATCTAGACCATCCACGACAGGTGTTTGTCTAACCTGCTCTTAAAAATCTCCAACGATGGAGATTCCACAACCTCTTTAGGCAATTTATTCCAGTGCTTAACCACCCTGACAGTTAGGAAGTTTTGCCTAGTGTCCAACTTAAACCTCCCTTGCTGCAATTTAAGCCCATTGCTTCTTGTCCTATCCTCAGAGGTTAAGAAAAACAATTTTTCTCCCTCCTCCTTGTAACAACCTTTTACGTACTTGAAAACTGTTATCATGTCCCCTCTCAGTCTTCTCTTTTCCAGACTAAACACACCCAGTTTTTTCATCTTCCCTCTTAGGTCATGTTTTGTAGATCTTTAATCATTTTCGTTGCTCTTCTCTGGACTCTCTCCAATTTGTCTGAAATATGGTGCCCAGAACTGGACACAGTACTCCAACTGAGGCCTAATCAGCACAGAGTAGAGTGGAAAAATTACTTCTCGTGTCTTGCTTACAACATCCTGCTAATACATCCCAGAATGATGTTTGCTTTTTTTGCAACAGCGTTACACTGTTGACTCATATTTAGTTGTGATCCACTATGACCCCTAGACCCCTTTCTGTACTACTCCTTCCTAGGCAGTCATTTCACAGTTTGTATGTGTGCAACTGATTGTTCCTTCCTAAGTGGAGTACTTTGAATTTGTCCTTATTGAATTTCATCCTGTTTACTTCAGATCATTTCTCCGGTTTGTCCAGATAATTTTGAATTTTAATCCTGTCCTCCAAAGCACTTACAACCCCTCCCAGCTTGGTATCGTCCACAAACTTTATAAGTGTACTCTCTATGCCGTTATCTAAATAATTGATGAAGATATTGAACAGAACCGGACCAAGAACTGATCCCTGCGGTACCCCACTCGTTATGTCCTTCCAGCTGGACTGTGAAGCACTGATAACTACTCTCTGGGAATGGTTTTCTAATCAGTTTTGCACCCACCTTATAGTAGCTCCATCTAGGTTGTATTTCCCTAATTTGTTTATGAGACAGTCATGTGAGACAGTATCAAAAGCTTTACTAAAATCAAGATATACCACGTCTACTGCTTCCCTCCTATCCACAAGGCTTGTTACCTGTCAAAGAAAGCTACCAGGTTGGTTTGACATGATTTGTTCTTGACAAATCCATGCTGACTGTTACTTATCACCTTTTCACCTTATTATCTTCTAGATGTTTGCAACTTGATTGCTTAATTATTTGCCTCATTATCTTTCTGGGTACAGAAGTTAAGCTGACTGCTCTGTAATTCCCTGGGTTGTCCTTATTTCTCTTTTTTTTAGATTGGTACTATATTTTCCCTTTTCCAGTCTTCTGGAATCTCTCCCATATTCCATGACTTTTAAAATATAATCACTAATGGCTCAGATATCTCCTCTGTCAGCTCCTTAATAAACTGAAGGACAATAAAGGGGAGAGCCCATTCGAGTTATGAGCTTCGCAGAATGAACCCTACCTGTCATAATTCTCAATCTGAAAGATGAAGTGGTGTAAAAGAGACAATCCCTGGCACAGAGAGCGGACAGTCTATGACAAACAGTATGCAACAGGTGGACAAACTAGACAAAGAAGATGGACATGGGTTGGGAGAATGAGGTAACAGCGAAAGCAATAGTTTAGCAAAAAAAAATGCACAAGTCACTGTTAATTAATTGGAGATGATGGACCTGACACATCTGGAGTTACTGAACCAGGCGTGCTCGGTCCTCACCTTGTGGGGGCTCCTGTATCCTCAGTAAGATGAAGTGTATAAAACTCTCATTTTCATTCTTGTCAGATGCTACCTACATCTTGAGTACATTCCTTGGCTGAGGAAGACAAGATGGGACTCCCCTGCGTGGGGTGCTGCAGGCTGAAGGCTGTCATAGTCCTTTTGGGAGCAAGGGAATGTCACTACTTGGTTTTGGTTCTGTCCTGCTAGCACAGAGCTCAATTAAATAGTTCTCTGAATATGCGAGATTTCTACTTAGCCCTTTGCAGTGTGGAATTTTACTACACCTCTACCCCGATATAATGCGACCCGATATAACACGAATTCAGATATAACGCGGTAAAGCAGCGCTCCGGGGGGCGGGGCTGCACACTCCGGCAGATCAAAGCAAGTTCGATATAACGTGGTTTCACCTATAACGCGGTAAGATTTTTTGGCTCCCGAGGACAGCATTATATCGGGGTAGAGGTGTATTATAATTCCCTTTTTACTTCTGCTGGGCCTTACTCTGTCTTGCGGTAGATCTTGGGGAATGCCCTGCCCCAGAGATTTTACAGTGGAATAAAACGAGCACATACAGCAATATACAATTTTACGTACATGACAGAGAGCAGGGCTAGCTGACTGTATTAAAATGCTTGACCCTCTGTACACCTCAGTTTAACAGTCAGTAACATAGTACAGTTGCACCCAGGCTACACATCTACTAAATAAAGTTGTCTCATGTAGATGGGGCCTGTTAGAATTAGGTTTTTTAAAAACAACAATTACATTTCACTCTTCAGCCCCGTACAAATTTCAGTCTGACACCATCTATGCCTCAGAGACAAGGTATGTGAGGTAATATCTTTTATTGGACCAATGTCTTTTGGTGAAAGAGACAAGCTTTTTAGATGCACAGAGCTCGTCTCTTCTTCAGGTCTGGGAAATGGTGTTACAGATAAATACAAGATGGAACAAATTGTTTAGCATTAAGTAGTTAATACATACTCTAAGGGACAAGGTAATATATTTTATTGGAGCAACTTCTGTTGGTGAGAGAGACAAGCTTTCGAGCTCTCATCAATAGAAGTTGGTCCAATAAGAGATATTACCTCATCTACCTTGTCTCTCTCATATCCTGGGCTACAACAACACTACAAACAACATTTGCCCGTCTTTCCTCTCGACAATGCAGCAATCACTTCCTGCCCCATGTAGCAACATTATTTCCCAATTTTGTTTAGGATTGATGGATTTTGCTTTTCGTTTTAGAAATTACCACCATTCACCTCCCGTTTTGTTAATTTCTGAGCAAAGATGGGACCATTTAAATGCTCAAACACTAATAAGCACAGCAATCTAATGAACAAAAGGCTAGTAATAGTTAAGAACATGTTTTAAAGGCAACAGTCTGCAAAGTTTTTTAAGAAGAAAATTAGTAACTGCTGAAAGATTTTGGAGCTCCTGGGGCTTGATGGCTCAGGAGACTGGAAGGTCATCTCTAGGTTGATAGTCTGAATTACAGCACCAAATAGGGTGACCAGATAGCAAGTGTGAACAATCGGGACGGGGGGTGGGGGGTAATAGGAGCCCATAGAAAAAAAAGCCCCAAATATCAGGACTATAAACTCGGGACATCTGGTCACCCTAGCACCAGAGGCACAATCAATAGGAAGTCAATAAGCGTTCAGTAAGATTGAGGCCTGATCTGCAGTGGATTAAAGAGGTTGTCTGCAACAGAAGAATTAACATGTGGGAGGGACTATGTTATAACACAGCATGACCATGAGACTGTACTGTGGTGGGCATTACTGCAGACTATCCCAGCATGCAATACTCTATCCTGCTCACAGTGCTGCAGTCCTCTGTGACTACACATCCCAGCGTGCAATGCTCCCCTTCGCTCGAGCTGTGACGCAAAAAGACTACAGCTTCCGGCAAGCATTGCGACAGGACTTCCTCGAAGAAGACCCCGCCTTTTTTTCCTGCAGTGCATGGTGGGAATTGCAGTCTCCGGACCTGAGTGAGGGGGCCAATGTTGACAAAGGAAGCTGAGCGCGCCGCGTGCGTTCCAGAGCTCTGATTGGCTGGCGGGCGGTAGTGGGGATGGCGCTCTTCACGCCGTCGGGGCGTGTCCGAAGAGGCTTGGCCAATGGACGTGAGGGATGGCGAACGACGACAGATGTGCCCAATGGGAGCCAGGCTGGGCGGCCGGCGAGGGGCGGGCCCGGGCGCGCGGCAGAGGGGTGGGACTGGGGTGCGCGCGGCTGGTGGCGGAGCCCGCGCGGATTCGAAGGAGCGGCGGTTGGCGGCGGCGGGAGCAGCGCTGAGGTGATTTTTGCCCGGGCGCGGCCGGACCGCTCGGCCTGAGCTGCAGGGAGCGGCTGACCCCGGCCCTCTCTCGGATCAAGAGCGGCGGTCTGGGGGATTGAGGTCAGCGGCTCCCGGCCTCGGGGGGGCTGCGTGCGCCCCCCCCCCCGGGTCCCAGATAAAGAGCGTCCCGGGGGGGACGGGACGTGGGGACGGGGCTTAACATGGCCCTTACCCGTGCGGCTGCCATGGGCACGGAAAACGACCCAGCCCCCAAGCAGCGTGGGCCGCTGGCGTCAGAGCTCGGCTT